TTCGCATGAAGGAAATTGCCCGGAGCCATTTCTGGTGGTCTGGACTTGATTCGTTGAAAACAAGGCTACGGCCTGCACCTCCTGCCAAAAGATCCGAAACACGCCCCAAATGGCACCACTTCACCCATGGGACTGGCCAGAAGAGGCGTGGCACAGAATTCACATTGACTTTGCAGGACCCTTTGAGGAAAAGATGTTCCTGGTGATCATGGATGCGCATAGCAAGTGGCCAGAGGTGGCAGCAACACGGTCCACAACCGAGAAAACCATAGAAAAGCTGGGGGAGGTATTCAGTTGCTTTGGAGCACCGGTGCAGCTAGTGAACGACAACGGTCCGCAATTCACTCCTCTCAAGTTTGCTGCCTTCCTTCAGGTGAATGGGATCCAGCATATAAAGTCGGCTCCAGATCACCCCTCAACAAATGGTCAGGCTGAAAGTTTTGTGCAAACCTTAAAACATGCACTCAAGGCATCCAGGGACCAGGGAACCCTGCATCAAAGGTTAAATAACTTCCTGTTGTCTTACAGGAGCACACCTCATGCCACTACCGAGGCATCACCCTCATCTCTGATGTTGAAGAGAGAACTGCGGAATAGTTTTGACTTGCTGAGACCACCAACGACTAAGGAGGTGGTAAAACAACAACAGGAGGAACAAATTAGCCGACGTCAGCTGAGAGCCAAAGACAGGCTCTTTGAACCGGGGGACACGGTTCTGGCCAGAAACTACCTCAATGGACCAAAATGGGTTCCGGCGACAGTGCTAGCCCGCACAGGGCCTGTATCTCACACAGTACAGGTGGGTGACGTCAGCTGGAAAAGGCATGTCGAGCAGCTGCTGCAAGGGAAGACCCCTGAGACCCCTGACACTCCGGTAACCTCAAACCCTGGTCAGACAGTGGTACTTGCACAGGACATGCTGAAACCACCAGTTGAACCACTGGAAAACGTACCACTTCCAACAGATGTTCTTAGCTCACATGATCCCGGTAATGAGCGGGTGTCTGCACCAAGCCAGCCACCCACCCCCAACCCAAAGTCGTCCCCGACTAGCTGTGCAGTTGAACACACAGCGGAACGCCCTTACCCTGCTAGGGTGAGGCGGGTGCCAAAACGCTTAGACTTATAATAAATAAATAAATAAAAAGGGGGGTGTGGTGTTAAGTTTTTGTGGTTCACCATTTTAAATGGTACAAAAAAAAGGGAATAATAGTACTAGTACTGAGCTGTGGTATTGTGTTTTGTTTGTTCTTGTCACAGAGCCTGAATTAAACAGATTCATTCAAAATAATTAACTAATTTTGTTGCTGTTATGGCCACATATTTTTTTTTTTTAAGGAAACCCTTTATTTTAGGGGGGAGGTAATGTTATATAGTTAACGGAAACACATTTTTCTGATGTCAAAGTGTACTTACTGTACTGGCTGCTTTTCAATGGGCAACTTCCTTGTTTCTGACATGAAGTTCTATGCAAGTAAATAAGCAGTTAGTAGAAGAAACTGTCCGTGTCATTATTCTGGGATTATAAGTATTCCTTTGTGGCAATCTTCCCCAAGTACGCAACAGGTTTATCTGTGTGCACTTCTTACAGTTAAAAGAAAATATTGAGGTAAAACTGAATATCTTACAGTACATTTTTTGGGGGGAGAAGGATCTGAAAAAATGTACTCTTTGTACACTTGTAAAAGTGTTGAGAATTGTGAACGACCCCTAAAAGAGGGTTAATTTTAGGACAAAAATTGAAGAAAATGACTCAACATTTTTTTTTTTAATGAAGGTATGCTAGTTTCGTAATGAAATTATTTTGGCGGTGGTACACATCAAGAGCTTTCCAAAAATATAGGTTTCATTACAATTGAAGGATACCCACATCCTGAAAAAAAGGGCCTGAAAAAGGGTCACTCCCCACAGGGGGGTAAAATAAGGGTCAATATTACCAAAGAACTATAAATGCTATAGGATATTAATTGGTGGCTATAGAAAGCTCTTGACCATTACTGATAGCCGATATTACCACAAATCTACATATGTTATCAGATGGGTGTGAAAATGGTACCCAGTTATATGTGAATATTTTGATACCGGTTTGTAAAAGTAGCATTTTTGGGAGCCTATAAAACCACAATACAAGGGTTAAAACTACTTTGATTAGCATTAAAGGGTAGTTCAGTGCCTACAGAACAAGTCCAGACAAAATATCATGTGGTTAGCTTTATTATTTCCAGAGTTACAGCCTGTTAAAAATGTAAAAAATGCTAATTTTGCCAACCGGGGTGCCACGCCCACTTTCTTGACCTCCCAGAAAATCAAAACTAGTGGGCCGATTGAGCCAAAACTTGGTATTTTTTCATTTGGCACCCAAAGCAACATTCTATTAAAGTTTGAAAAAAATCCATGACTACGCCCATGGAACTTGTCTGAATATTGGCTGATTTCATATGGAATAACCCTAATCCAAAATAAAGAGAGGTATAACGAAATGATATTCACAAGGTACAGGATGAGGAAGGGCTTTGATAATCACCAGGGGTTTATATTTATTTAGATAAATCATTGTGTTGCCATGTGAAAATATGTACATTTCTTGCATGACTGTATATGGGCATATATTTTTGTATTTTGCATATTAATAGTTTACCATATATTAGCGGAATTTAAAGATAAAAAAAAAATTCAGTCAATATAACACAACCTTAGGATTTCAGTAAGGGAGTTTTGGATAGTAAATAACTAGCAAACAAAGGTGTACGATCACATAAGTTCATACTTCTTCCTACCCCTTTTCGCTCAAGTAAATGTAGATGTTTTGAGTGCTTTCGGATGGAATTATCGCCTATTTTTCTTTCTTGTTCTTCATCTATGCGAACTTTAGTTTTTATCCCCCGCTGGGCGAAAGCCCAAAGGAGGATTATATTGTGACGCAGTCCGTCTGTCCATCTGTCCGTATCAGACGGGACTTGGCCGGCAAAATGAGCTCCCAGTTTTCATAGGACATCCCTGAAACTTTGCATATATGCTGCTCAAAAAAAATAAAGGGAACACTTAAACAACACAATGTAACTCCAAGTCAATCACACTTCTGTGAAATCAAACTGTCCACTTAGGAAGCAACACTGATTGACAATCAATTTCACATGCTCTTGTGCAAATGGAATAGACAAAAGGTAGAAATTATAGGCAATTAGCAAGACACCCCCAATAAAGGAGTGGTTCTGCAGTTGGTGACCACAGACCACTTCTCAGTTCCTATGCTTTCTGGCTGATGTTTTGGTCACTTTTGAATGCTGGCGGTGCTTTCACTCTAGTGGTAGCATGAGATGGACTCTACAACCCACACAAGCGGCTCAAGTAGTGCAGCTCATCCAGGATGGCACATCAATGCGAGCTGTGGCAAGAAGGTTTGCTGTGTCTGTCAGCGTAGTGTCCAGAGCATGGAGGCGCTACCAGGAGACAGGCCAGTACATCAGGAGACGTGGAGGAGGCCGTAGGAGGGCAACAACCCAGCAGCAGGACCGCTACCTCTGCCTTTGTGCAAGGAGGAACAGGAGGAACACTGCCAGAGCCCTGCAAAATGACCTCCAGCAGGCCAAAAATGTGCATTTGTCTGCTCAAATGGTCAGAAACAGACTCCATGAGGATGGTATGAGGGCCCAACGTCCACAGGTATGGGTTGTGCTTACAGCCCAACACCGTGCAGGACGTTTGGCATTTGCCAGAGAACACCAAGATTGGCAAATTCGCCACTGGCGCCCTGTGCTCTTCACAGATGAAAGCAGGTTCACACTGAGCATGTGACAGACGTGACAGAGTCTGGAGACGCCGTGGAGAACGTTCTGCTGCCTGCAACATCCTCCAGCATGACTGGTTTGGCAGTGGGTCAGTAATGGTGTGGGGTGGCATTTCTTTAGGGGGCCGCACAGCCCTCCATGTGCTCGCCAGAGGTAGCCTGACTGCCATTAGGTACCGAGATGAGATCCTCAGACCCCTTGTGAGACCATATGCTGGTGCGGTTGGCCCTGGGTTCCTCCTAATGCAAGACAATGCTAGACCTAATGTGGCTGGAGTGTGTCAGCAGTTCCTGCAAGACGAAGGCATTGATGCTATGGACTGGCCCGCCCATTCCCCAGACCTGAATCCAATTGAGCACATCTGGGACATCATGTCTCGCTCCATCCACCAACGCCACGTTGCACCACAGACTGTCCAGGAGTTGGCGGATGCTATAGTCCAGGTCTGGGAGGAGATCCCTCAGGAGACCATCCGCCACCTCATCAGGAGCATGCCCAGGCGTTGTAGGGAGGTCATACAGGCACGTGGAGGCCACACACACTACTGAGCCTCATTTTGACTTGTTTTAAGGACATTACATCAAAGTTGGATCAGCCTGTAGTGTGTTTTTTCCACTTTAATTTTTGAGTGTGACTCCAAATCCAGACCTCCATGGGTTAATAAATTTGATTTCCATTGATAATTTTTGTGTGATTTTGTTGTCAGCACATTCAACTATGTAAAGAACAAAGTATTCAATAAGAATATTTCATTCATTCAGATCTAGGATGTGTTATTTTAGTGTTCCCTTTATTTTTTTGAGCAGTGTATGTTGCAGATAGACTGATGAAATGCATATCGCAGTCGCAACTCTGGCAGAGGACGTTGTGCTCTGAGCGCTCGTTTTAGATGTTATTTTACTTGTTTGAATTAAAGACATCAATCAATCAATTGCTGAGCAGCATGTGTGCATATGCACTGTTTTGTATACCTCAGAAACACCTTGAGAGAACTCTTGTCAACTTTGGAAGTACGGAGTGATATGTCCTAAGCGGGCACAGCAACATTGTTCCAGCTGAGGCTGCACAGCAGTGCACAATCTCGGCACTGCCCTCTAGTGGATAATGCACTGTGCATGCGCATTTTAACAAAGTAGTCTGTCCAAGCCTAGCATCGGCTGGCAACCCATTATAAAAAAAAAAAAATTGTATTAGAAAGAATCCATCCTTGCTGCCGGGTTGGCTCACTTGGTTAAGGCGCTGCACTCGGGGAGCAGTGGTGACTACCACGGCGCGGGTTCGATCCCTGGTCGTACCAACCGGCAGTGGTCAGTTCAGTGCAGTGCACGATTGGCTAGAGCGCTGCGGGTAAGCAAATTGGGAAGGGACTGCCGGGAAGGGATATTAAAATGGTTGCCTTGTTTGTTGCTCAAGCGCCTCCTGTTAGCCAGCCGAGCGCTCCTCAGTGAGACTTTAAGCTTGCTCATGTTCGGATATCCTTCGCCCTTGTTCTGAACTTGCGAAAGTTTCGACCAATGAGTGCAAAGATGCAGGGGCTGACAGGTGCGTGCTTCAGAGGGGAGCCGCAAACGGTCTCTCTCCTGAACTGGCAATAAGGGGTCGCATACGAGCAAGCCTTGTAAATAGTTCTCAAATTGGGCATTCCAGATTTGGGTGGGATTGCCAAATTTTTATTTAAAAAAGAAATAATTTTAAAAAGAAAAAAAGAAAGAATCCATCCTTAGAAAGTTCACAATTTTTATTTTTTGAATTTCAAAGGCATAAAAAGTACATCCAAAATTTACTCCATTGGTAAATGACATTTCACAGATGTTATTTTTCAAACAATCGGCATAATCTGAGCAGTTAATTTTGGTTTAATCAAGACCAACTCTGAGATTTAACTCCACTGTACTTTTATGTCCATGAAATTCTGATTCAGTTCATGTACAGTGTATTCACACATGAATCTAATAAGTATTTTCTTATAAAGAGACAAGTGTAAATTTGAGGCTGCAGCTTTCTTGATATTGAACCTGAGCAAATTCAGCCAAAACAAGTAGCAGTGCACGTTAGACCAATTCCTGATGTCCTATGGCCTAGCTTGCACACAGGATTGTTATGCTGCACAAGTTATCTATTGCGATTTTTTATCTCACTGGATCAAGAGTTCAATGAAGAACAGTTAGAAACATCAAGACATTATGGGCACGTATGCTTATTTGTCCTGCAAAACCATTAACTTAAATCAGCGCACTTTTAAATATCAGAATTATTGTATGTAAACGAAATTCAAATTCTGGTACGTAAACCCTTCATGTACCTGGTATGTCAATGACATGTCAGCATAAAAGAATCCTTACTCAACACTATAGATACAATACAGCATGAAAAAAGGGTTTCTTAAATGATTTCCGCAGAGCATGCAGCGATCATTTCTCACTTATAACCAAAAGTATCATATCAAGTCTATTCATGTCTAATTCATCAACATTCTTAGTAATCTCTCTTCACATTTTCAATCCAATTCTCCATAAGAAAAATGTTCATAATAGTAATATATTGTATTCTTCTTTTAACAACTTTTTTTTTGTACTGTACGGGAAGAGCAAATTTATATGCACACAAAAGAGAAATTATGATGTCCAGCACCAATCTGCCTTTGTTGGAAATGCTATTTTTTTTATATAATTTTCAGATTATTCAAGTCCAGCTGAATTTTATTTAACCAAGATCAATCTTCAATTAATGTTAAACTCATCTCAAAAATGCATAGCTTGGTCAGAAATATTTACAATTAATTCTGTATGCAACATTCAACTGATAACTGTGCAGTCAGTCCTGAAATCACTTGAATTATTGTTTTAAAAACCCCACTGCCAAAACAGATATTGACAGCAGGTATAAATATAAATACAGCAGAAGTACGTCTTCATTTAATTTAATTTTAAATCTTGCTGTGCTACACAGATATACAAGTAAAAACTTTTTTTTTTCATTTCCCTGACTTAATGACAAAACAAGAGAAGACAAATCAAAGTTAGATCAGTTCTATATGAACATGTATTCACTACTCTTGTCAATGACACCTGATGCCAGATGGCAGATGTACTTCTGTCTAGATGGAGGCCCAGGAATACAACTTCAGCTGAAAGCCATGAAGAAGCTGAAGCAAGGTCCCAAGACCTTGTGTTCATGTCACGCGGATGTCTCCAAGAAGTGGCTTCAGAGGGCTGAGAGGGGAGTGCTTAAGGTCACTTGAGATTACGTGTGGGCAGGGCATGCAGAAGTGCAGCTACTTCGACGAAGGGGCTGGCACGTTGACTGAGACCGTGCGCCGAGCGTTGGTCACTTGTCGCTGCTGGGCAAGGAAAGACTGGCCGGGCGGCACAATGGAGGAGGCGGCACGGCCAGCCAGCCGGGACTCTATCGCTAGTTTCTGGAAGGTGAGGCTCTGTAAACAGAATGAGGTGGCTTTCTACATAAAACAAAGGTAAATCCTTCAAATTTATCATCCCATTCCCTTCATTGGCTAAATTCCATTGTTCCATTTTGCTTATGTTATATTTAAATTTTTCATATCATTCAACAAATTTTAATACAGCAAAGACAATGCGAGTAAACACAAAATGGTGCTTTTAAATGATGATTACCCCTCTTGAAGGTAAAGAGTTATTCAAAACGTATACAATCCATGTGAAAAGATAATTGCCCCACCAAAACCTAATAACTGGTTGTGCCACCCTTGGTGGCAACAACTGCACTTAAATGTTTAGGTTAACTGAAAAAGAGTACTTTACACTGCTGTGGAGGAAGTTTTGCTTTCCATTCTTTGTAGAAGTGCTTTAATTCAGCCGCATTAGAGGGTTTTCGAGCATAAACTGTCCGTTTAAGGTCAGGCCACAGCCTATCAATCATTGTCAGGAGTTTGACTAGACCACTTCAATTCATGTTGTTTCTTTTAAGCCATTCAGAGGTGGACTTACTTGAGTGTTTTAGATCATGAGAACTTTTACCCCACACAACAAGAACATGGTCAATATGTGGTCAAATTAATCCATTGTATAGCGTGATTAAAACATTACTTGAGAGATTCATTTTGATTTGACGAATACGCCCCATTATTTGTGAAAGTTTATCACAAACTTTGTCAACGTGCCGATTCCATGTCAAGGACTCCTCCAATATTACACCGAGGTATTTAAAATCACGCACCTGTTCAACTGGTGCGAACAACATTGGTGACGCCAGAACTGAAAATTGGGAAAGAAATCAATTTAAAACAATTATCTGTGCCCAATCATCTTTCCTAACAATACATTCACTTCGAAAACACTTCACACCATCAGGTGTTGCAAGCTCTCCCCAGCAAGGCAAGACGATAATCATTCATCTGGTCGCGCAACTTGGTGCATTTCAATCGGCCTGATTCTAAATTGTGCACAGGTGTTCCTTTGTCTTTGATTTAGTTTAACCTTTAGCATGCTAAGTTAATTTAAGCCTATTGCATGCTGGCAGCTGAGTTCTGGATCAGTGTAATATAGTCTGCAACTGGCTTATTTTCAAGACTGATCCAGATATCACACCTACTGATACTAAAAAATTGGGTCGTTTCCACGGAAATAACCCAGAATTACAGACCTCAACCACTCAAAACAAGCCATTACGATGACGCAATGGAGTCTCCCGTATTCATATGGCTAATATTGGCCACGTGATCGTTGGTTCTTTTTAAATATAGGTTACAGCACAAGTGTTTGTAGCGGATTAGAATTTCGAAACGAGTTGGGCCGCGGAGGGATTCCGCGGCCCAACGAGTTCCGAAATTCCCCAGACGCAACAAACACGAGCACGGTAAACTATGTATTATATGCGCCATTTTTTGTATTCATTTGTGAGACAAAATAAGTTCTAATTCAACATTTCACATAGATTTATTTGGTTCGTTAAAAAAAAGAACAAAAAGGGAACTATTTGATGTAGTATGAGTGTGCTAGTACTGTACAGCGATCACAACAATCATTTTACATTCGCATGTATGATGAAAAATGGCTAGATTTGCAATACCTGTCCAACAAGAATTGTCTACATAGCTAGCAAGAACAATGCAAGACAGATGTGGGACACAAAATCCATAATATCAGCATTTAATAATCTGTCACATTTGGCAATGGTCGCATGCATATCCACTCTCTCCATTGCTCGCTATCAGCGCGACCGCACTCATACTGCGTCATGTACTCACTTTAAAATGAAGTTATATTAGCACTTGCCGCTGAAATGATATTTGGATCTTGGCATTCCTAAACACAGTTCTTCTTGTCGAGCGATCTCGCCGGCAAACAAACGTGGCGACTGCGGTCGCCGGCAGTTGCACAGAATAAGGAATATATGGGCGAGTACGGTCGCCGGCAGTTGCACAGAATAAGGAATATATGGGCGAGTACGGTCGCCGGGAGCACGCTAAAGGTTAAATAATTGAAACAATCATAAATTGCAGGTTAGATCGCCTGATGTGCTAAAAAGGTAGCAGGGAAGTTCAGCTTTCGTAAGGCATATTATTTGTAGCCTTAATCGTCTTTCTTTGCATGGAGTCTCGCTGCTTTCTGATATGTACGAATTTCTACAACCCATGCACGGCTGATAAGTCATTCATTAAAACCGGACAATGGTTTACTTGCGCGATGTTTACGTTCTTTCCAGTGTTATGCCAGTGCAGTGAGAAAGGAATGATCCAGTTGCTTTTGCGCGGCAAAGAGAAATAATTGTGTGACTTTCGTTAGTGAGACATTGTATCCGGTAAATCGGTGAACAGCTTAATCGGGTAAGAAATACTTCGCCCGTTCCCAGCCTCTTATGTGCAGAATACTTTACATATTTTTTCAGTAGGGCTCATCAGAGTTTGCTTTGAGGCAGTACCGTGGTGTCGGACGTACATTTCAGGCACTTCATAGGTCAATTAAGAGCACAGTGAAGTGAGGAGATAGCTGTCATTTGGGCAGATTACATATCCTGGTTATGGCAATCATCTGGTATGCAGGGGTGTAGCTCCTCATCATAGTGTAGGACAGTGCTTCCCAAACCTCTCCTGGAAGCCCACCTATCCTGCATGTTTTAGATTTCTCTCTGCTCCAGCACAGGTGATTCAAATGATCAGGTTGTCATCAATCAGCTTTAGGGGGTAATTAACGAGCAGATCATTTGAATCACCTGTGCTGGAGCAGGGAGAAATCTAAAACATGCAGGACAGGTGGGCCTCCAGGAGAGGTTTGGGAAACACTAGTGCAGGAGATATTGCTCCAAAATACTTTGGTGTCGGACGTAC